GCCAGAGGGGACTTGGGGGCTCTGCAAGGCTCTCCCTGGACGTCTCCTCGGCCTGGGCTGGGAGACCCTCAGGGACACAGCTCACCTCTGCATCTTCCCAGGTCTTGTATAGTTCGAAGGCCTTGTAGCAATGCCCTTCATAGGAGGACCAACCAGAGAGACAATCAGCTCCAGTTCCTTTGTGGGAAGAGACAATGCCCAATGAAAAGAGAGGAGGGGGGGAGGACGAGGAGGGGGAGGAGGAGGAGTAGGGCCAGGGAGTGGAGGTGGGGGGAGGACGAGGAATGGGGGGGGATGAGGAAGAGGAGAGCTGGGTCTGCAGAACATGCTTAACCTGCTTGTTGCAAACTGACTTGCAGCTTCCTTTGCAGATTGTCCAAACCTCGGTTAGAGTGAACCCTGGTTTAATTCCCTGGAAGCTGCATGTCTGGTGTGTCTCTATCCACGTTGGCTGCTTTTTTCATTCCGTGAAGGGTGCAAAGTCAAAAATTGGGTTCTTTCACGAACAGATTAACCTTTGCAGACCTGCCTGGGCCTCAAGTCCCAACTGAGCCAATTTGGCCTAGTGGTTAGAGCACCTGGCTAGGATGCAGGAGACCAGGAGTTCTAGTCCCGCTTTAGCAATGGAAGTCAGCTGGGTGACTCTGGGCCAATCACAAGGAGACGGGCAGTTCTAGTCCCGCCTTAGGAAAGCAGGGTGACTGTGTGTCAATCACTCGTGTCAATCACTCTCAGCTTAATCCATGTCACAGGGTTGTCGTTGCGGGAAAACAGAAGGAGGAAAGAATATCAGGTATGTTCGTTGCCTTGAATTATTGGTAGTAGTAGTAGTAATAATAATAATAATATAATAAATATAATAATGATGATGATGATGATGACAGGATACACAGGAATAATTATACAAATAAAAATCATGAAGCGTCCTGAGCCATTCAGACTTAGCAAGAATTATCCCCACTTTGGTTGCAACCTGTCCAGACTACTGCAATGGCCTTGATGTGGGGCTGCCCTTGAAAGCCTCCAAAATTGCAATGGCTGGGAAAGGAAGCAGCCAGGCTGTTGACCGGTGCAAAGGAAGGGGGATCCATTGGGTCTGTCCTAAGGGATCTCCTCTCTCCTGGATGCCCCCAAACAACTACAGGGGTTTAGAGGCAGATTATTCGTGGGGCTGCCCCCCTGCTCCCCACTGCCCAAGAAGGGCCCGTCTGAAGACGCCCCCAGCAGGGGCTCAGCTCTTCAGCAGATGGGGAAGGGTCTCACCCCTTGGGTGGCTCCCATGGAGAGAAATCCCTAGCAAGAAGGGGGGGAGGGGCACTCTACTTTTAATTCATCAATGTATGCATTTTCCCCAAGAGTTTAACTTATAATTAATTCTGCATTTCAGTGGGGTTAATTTTGCTTGGGTTTTGTATCGCTGCACACAGTTCTGAGTCTTGGGGCAGAGAGAGAAGGTGGGATCTGGATGGCAGAAGGAGCCAAGTGGGAATAAAAGCAACTTTGGGGAGAGGATTCTGGGGGGGGGGGGTCAAATCAGGAAGGGGTTGGAGGTGGGAGAGCTTTGCCCTCTCCGGACACGAGGGACCCTGCTCAAACTCACCACTTAGGGAGGCGGCCACGACCAGCAAGCCAAAGCTCACGAAGGTGAATCGCCCCATGGTCTTCCTTCCTTCCCTGCAGAGAGAACTGGGGGGGGGAGAGAGGAAAGGGGGGGGGAGAGGGGGTGAAGTCCAACCTGGGGCCAAGCTGGGAGTCCCACACTTTGCTTTGCGCTTCTTCACTTGCCCAGCTGGACCCCGTTTCTCCCTCCTTCTTCGGGCAGCAGCCTGGGGGGGGGGGTCACAGTGGATCCTGCATTGCTACGTACAGGACAGAAGCCCCCCCAAAGTCTCTCTTCCCCAGAGATCCCCCTGGTAGATCCCTTTGTCCTTGCCTCCCAAGGATCCCCTGCTGGAACCTGGACATTGCCTGCCGCCCCATGAAAGTGGTCCCTGCAGGTGGGGAGAGAGAGGACAGAGAGAGAGAGAGAGAGAGAGAGAGAGAGAGAGAGAGAGAGAGAGAGAGAGAGAGAGAGAGAGAGGAGCGATGTAATGCAGGGGGGCCTCACCTGTCAGGTGCCCACAGGTGGGAGAGCCGCGCTCACCTGTCCCTCGGCCTCCACAGGTAGCAAGTCTGCTCAGAGGCAACTCCAGGCTTTCCTCCTGGGAGGGGAATGGAGGCATTTATAGGCAAGGAAGGGGGGGTGGATTTCTGTGGGGGGGGACGGTGGGAGAAAAGGCTTTGTGTGAGAACGGATTTTTGTGGCTACCGATCAGGAAGTAGTTGTGTTTGCACAAAAGAAGTTGACGGATTCACTCTCTGCCAGGACGGATGTCACGGAGGGAATCCTACAGTTTGAAATGTTCCCTGAGGTCATCCAGCCCAGCCCCTGCTCAGTGCAGCAATCCAAAGGAAAGCACCCCAGATACGTGGCTGATTGGCCCCAACTCCTTGTGGGTGTCCAGAGAAGGGGATCCCCCCCACCTCCTCTGGGTCTGGGGGCTGCTGTTGACAGGCTGACTTTCCCTTTTTCTGAGCGAGGTTTTTCTAACTTTCCTACAGAACCTGCAGGATTGAACAGATCCCTGATCTGGGTGTTTTGTTGCAGACGTTTCCTGACCCAACTAGAGAACACCATCAGTGCTAGAAGAGAGTGAGTTTCTGGAGAGGAGGAGGGGGGAGAGGAGGGGGGATAGTAGGACTGATGGGGCTGCTACCTGCCATGCTACATTCCTGCCCACCCCCCAGTTTGAAAAAATCTCTTCCTGGATTTTGCCCCTGGATGTCATGGCTTGACATCCAGGGGCAAGGGGGGGGACACTTGCCACCCTCATCCTGCAACCGGTTGTGTGCAACGTCCTGCCCCATCTCTGCGTTACAACTGAGCAGAATCAGCCATTCACCACTACTTGCCCTGCACTACAGCTCCCATGTTCCTTGGCCAGGAGGCCCTTTCACCTGGCAAGACTCACAAAGGAGCAATTGTTGCCTCTGCACCAGGAAGGAGCTGCTGTTGTTCCCAAAACACTGCCGAGCAAGGTTGGATCCCTTACAACCCGGATTCGGGTTTGGCCTCGTCCTTCCTTCCTCCTTCCTTCCCTCCCTCCCTTTCGTTATTCTTCCTTTTCTATGCCACCCATCTCACTGATACTGTCTCTCTGGGCCCCTTACAATATAAGAAAAC